AGATCTAAGTCTATAAAGAAAATGTTGTCTCCCTTATTATCATTTGCAAGTTATTTGCAAACACTGAAGGCGACACCTAACCTAGAATCTTGTCTCCAGCAGTGACCAACACAGAGAAAAGGGCAAGAAAACCCACCACAGAGGTTAATCAGTTTGCTTATTGAAGAGCAGTTAGTGACTGGGTTTATGCTGTTTCTGAAGATATAGAAACATTACTTTTTTTCTGAATCCAGATTAGATTTTGGTTTTCCCTTAGAAATATTTTCTCTTTGGCCAATCACACACTGTAATAGAGGTATTTATTTTCATTTGCTTTACATTATTCCGTTTCCATTTATTTATTATCCCATATTCAACAAATGACTTGAAAAAGCAACACCATTTAGCTATTCAGGAACTATTAGCTATGAATACCAATTCCAGCAAATGAACTTGAAATTACATCTTTTACATTATAGGAATATATATGTATAGATATGTAATGTGTCAAATTTTCCAAGTGGGTACAACTCCCAACTACAGGTAAAAATAAATGCATAAACAGTCCCAGTGCGGAATCCAAGTACAAGTATCAGCAGCTGCATGTGGATAAATGCACTTGATCTCTGTATATATTCTGGCTTTCTGTAAACTTCAAATGTCTTATTCAGAAACACTTGCAAAAAGCAAACAAAATGAAGCAAGTTGTCATTAAACCCATCAAACTAAAATAAAAATCGTATTCAGACATGTTTCTTGTCCTCTTCTTCCTTCCAAAATTCAAGTTTAGCTCCTTTTCCTACTCAAAGAAGTTCCCATTGAATTTATTAGGAATCTCCTTAACCAGCAAAACAGAGGTTGGGCTAAACACCACAGGCAAGCAAGACACGCTACTTTTATGTTTTGGAGACACTTTCTCACTCACTAACCTGCTTTTGTTGGATGCTGGATTTCTCGCTGTTTTTCGTGGATTCAGGCATCTTGATCTCCTAAACAGATTGAAAATTTAAACTTACAATAAGTTTAAACACTCCCCCAAATACTCCAACAAAATACACTGAGCAAATCAGCATTCACTTAAACCCAGCAGAAACAGCATAAGAAGTGAACTGGCACATTTACCCTTCTCATAATTCTGTTTTAGTCCAAGCTACCTGATTACTGTCAACAGTTTAACAGTTATGTAATGAATGCTCATCTTCATAATTAAAGGTTTACTTTACTTCCATTACAAGCAAACTTAGAGTGAAAGAGATCAAATCTTTTCCAAAATTAAAATTGGTCTTTTCTTCTGAATTGCTTATAGTTTAAAGCTATGAAATAACATGCTGTTCTTCGCTCACTGGAATCAGCCTGGGTCTAGATCACATATGTTCCTTTCCTTTTTTTTCTCTTTAGAAGTTTTCACTTAGCAGACATTCAGAGTCTTTAGATATCACAAGGTTAAACAAAGGCATTATTAACACTGGAAGTCACTTTTAAAAATAACAAGTCCCTAAACATATTTTCATCCTTGAAGGCCTACACAAAAGACATCAGCAGTATTTTAGCTACAAATCAAAGTTCTATTTTATTAACACTTCTATTTAAAACCAAAAAGTTTCTCAGTGTGAACGTCACAGATCTCAAATTGGCCTAACATTGCAGCAGATGGAGCAAGCAAGTGAAGCGGTGAAAAAGTGAAAGCCAGAAATGGATACAACAGGGTAGTTGCAGAACATACAAAAATTATGCCATAGATATCCTTTATCATATGCAACAAAAACGAAAGTCAAGGAGAGAGAATGCAAAACAGATTATTAAAACTGTGATGATAAACCATCTTTAACATTCAGAACATTATTTCAGTAAAAATAAGCGAAGGTGTTGTTTTTAGTCAATTAATTCTGCACTGAAATGTTGGAACATGCAAGATCCTTTTCCTCAGTGGGACTTCTCTCAGCACATTTTAAAGAATGATAGAGTAGCAGGCTTATTTCTCTTACATACAAATTCAGGTACCAACGTACACACATGCTCACCATTTCTTGTCCCTTTTTGGCTGCCTTCATCATCTGTTCTGATATCATTTTCTTCAAGCAGCTACTGAGCAAAAAGGCCTAAAGAGGATAAACCAGAGAACATTCTGATTTCTTCTATTAAAAGTGTACTTGACTCTTCCATTCCTCCTCCACCAGAAAATTACAGTCCCTAACTACTGAAGAGCTATTACTTCCTTAATGCAGTTAATTTTACTCCGTGCTTAACATCCTTACAATACACCATACTAGCTGCAGTCACTTAAAGCCCAGCCTCAGCACAACTAACCCTCACAGCACTGCTCAGAGTGGAGAATAAGAATTTTTATGACTGTTTTTTGTGAGGCAAGTTATTCTCTCTAGGTGCCTGTGGCTCCTACCTTAAAGGCTGCCAAATTACACTGAAGGGTAAGTAAGGTTAATCAAATGTGGCACTATCAGCATCAAAACCACTTCAACAAATGAAGCAAGCTGGAGTTTACAGGCACTCAGCGCTGCCAAAAGGCAAAGCCCCGTTGGTTACGCGAGATGGCTGCAACTGTTTGTAGACCAGCTCGGAGTTGCATCTTGCACAGCTAATATGAACTGAGCAGTACACATTCATCCCACGTATTAGGTATCTAGCAGAGGCACCTCAGAGAGGAGTGGAGTTGTGCTTAGTTGCTTATGCTGTTCGATGAGTGTGTACAACTCTTTGGGATGATGCAGCCCAAGTTAAGGTCTGAATTGCACCCTGGAGACACACCTCACTGCTTACTCCCTAAAGAGCAGCATCTCAGGTAGGGTATCAAGCACTGCGAGATGAATCAAAGACAAAATATCCTAGAAGATCAGGGATGGAGGGCCGAGCCATCTCTGACTAAGTTCCAAGTCACCCAGTCTTTCTGTTTTCTGCAGCAGGCTCTTGGACCAAACCCTTCTTTCTTCCACACAGCAGCACATTTCTGGCCTTTAGCTCTTCCTCACACTTCTGAGGAAAGCGGGACACTGGTTTTCTAATCAAGAGGTCACTACACCAAGCACAACCATGATGAATTTCACAGGAGAATTAATACTGGGATCATTCTAGGGTTGGTTTTTTTTTTTTGTTTTCCAACAGCAAAGAAACTAGAAAGCTTATTGCTTATGGCTCATGTTCTCATAAAACTTAAGTGTAGCAGGAAATTAACACTTACTAAGTAGTGTGTGAACTGCATCATCACCCCAGAATTTAGAAGTCATGTGTGAGAATTTAAGCATTTTGATTTTACTTGAAAAATCCTGTCTGCTGCTGGGTAGGTCTCAGAGGCAAGAAAAGCAGTTTACTTGAATAACAGGCTTCATGCTTTTTATAGAAGCTCTGTACCTAAACTGAGACTGGTGCTTTCTTTGATACTGCAGAACCTAGATTATTTGCTAGGCAGCATAACCACAGATGGATGACTTTATAGAGAAAGCTATCCAGGAATTTAAGAGCTGCCTGAAAATAGGGGGAGGAACAACACCCTATAAAATTTTACTGAAGAATTATTTATACATAAAAAAAACCAACAAAAAACCCAAAACACTTATGTCACATACTTACACCCTCTATTAACCTGTGTTAATATGGCATATATTTATATTTGAACAATAGGATTAATTGTGGAAAATGGGAGCCCTTGACCTTAGGTGGGTCCGACCAATTAAGGATTTTGGATACTTACTGAGACCAGTAAATAAGTGATACCTCTCCACACTCCATCCCAGGCTTGCTGCTGAGTGCTTGACATTGCTCTTATTGCTCTTCAATGGGGGGGAAGGAGGGGAGAAAAATCTCTTCCCCTTATGCTAGAAACTCAAATGCTTTTCCCCAGATAACTCTGTCCCTAGGCTAAACTGCTTGAAAGCATAGCTGCTGCACTCTGGTAAAGATGGACTAACTGCTTTTGAAGATCCCCTATGGCTGTAAGATTATATTTTTACTCTGTTCCTTTCCTCAAAAGACTGACAACTAACCTGTTTTGTGTACAAAATTATCCACTGCCATGTGCCTGAATCATTGTACTCAAATCTGAGCTCCAGAGTGTCGTCTTCACCATCCTTTGCAGCACCCTGAAAAAAAAACCCCAAACAACGAATGAAGAGAGGAAATAGCTAAAAACAGCATTAAGGTGTTCAGCCTTAAATCAGAATTAGTAAATTAGCTGTATCTTATACAGTATATAAATAAAACAGGTGAAGATCTGTACCAGAACACTTCTCCTAGGGGAGGGAGCAAGTGGGAGGTAGGAAGGGGGAGTCCTTACAAGCATAAAGCTGGCTAAAGCAGTTCCTTTGGTCCCACACAAAACTCTACCTGTCCCTTTCCTGCTGGAGGTAAAGTATGACATGGAATGCCATGGAAGGGAGAAAACATAGCAGAGTAAGGCAAGATGGCTTACTGTTGTAAAGGGAACATTTACTGCCAAGGGAATATGTTTCAGGATAGGTTTGGAGGGGAATAAGGGCAGATGGGAGGGATTTAAAACAGACCACTCCCTTCTCCCCAGACCTGCCCTTCCCTGACAGCCTTAGTTTTCATGAAAAGAAAGTGAATTCAAATACACAGTCAGTGAAGTACTTACAAGAAAAGTAACCTGCCAACTTTTTAATCTGTTGATTTTAAAGCTGACCTCTTTGGTTTGTTTAGTAGGCAATTTTATGCAGCAGTTAATCTCATTATTGCCGACATAGATGTCAGCTGAGCAGCCTTCTTCTGGATAGTCACAAATGCAAGGATCAAGCCGTACGTATCCGTAGAACTGCACTTCTCGAATCAGCTCCAGGAACTGTACCAAAAAGACAGAACTAAAGTGATTTGCTGCAGAGGCAAGTGAAATCTAGTGATTCAGGTTAAAAAAAAAAAAAAAAAAAAAAGAGGGCTATAAGGCAAATCTCAAATCTTTCAGATTGCTAATACTTTGTCCTAGGAGGACACAGATTCACCACAATACGTCAATGATTGATTCAGAGAATAGCACTAACGTCCAGACTTAGAAACTTAATTTTTTTTTTCCCAGTGGATATGATGAGCTGAGTCTTTTGGATGCTTATTAGATACGATAGGAAGAGATAAAACTAACCAGTAAGCAATACTCAGAACAGCAGTCCCAGAAATCTGAATTTCCATCTGATTTTCTGCACTGGATGACAAACCCTTGCACCTGAGTTTAGCAAATAGAGAAGACTAAGATTCACAGTCAAAAACTTCTTACTAGTCCTTGGGATCCAAGTCATTCCGTTGGGATATTTTAAAATACTGGGAACCTCCTTTTCTCTTTGGAGGCTCGGTATCTGGCCAGATGCAAGGCGTGGGTCTCTAGCTCATACCACTCCCCAAAACCATGCTTTATTTTTAAAGTCACAACCTTTAGTATCATTGCTTCAAAAACCACTCATTTCATATGTTTATATTGGTTTTAAAATGGTATTTTACCTTTGCTTTATTCGCATTTTTTTGTAGAAATTCAAGTTCCTGCATCTGCCCTTCTGTTGGTTTAACCCAATTCCTCTTAACTTCCTGGACTGCCTTAAAAGAATTTTTAAAAATAGCAAAAAAGTCAGCAAAAATGTATTTCCTTTCATACACAAACACTCAGAAACACACACACAGAAAGCTTTTTTTTTTTTATTATTTAAAGAAGGCCTTTGGATTTTGGGACAAGTTCACTCTGCATTGTTCTTTCCTCCTAAATTGATAGTTTCTGAAGCTAGTACAACTCAACACACCTACAGTTCAGAAATCAAATGCTCTCATATCACAGCAGAATGCCTACATATAAAGACATACAGATACACACATACACATGAAAATAGGAGTGGATGGATACCTAAATACACCCTTTTTGTGCAATACTTTTCGCATGCACAAAACAGATGAATTACAACCTCTACTACATGAGCTTGAAGGGAAAAAAAAAGAAAAAAAGACAAAGAACATGATCAACAACAGCTATACCCAAAACTTAGAAAAGTGCAACAAAGCGGTGTTAAACAGGAACCATTTAACAAACACTTCAAGAATTTGTATAAAAGATTAATTTAGGGGAAAGTTAACTTTTAAAATTCTAAAGACCTTTCAGTTTTACCTGTATATATAGCAAATTCAGTGAAGCTCTACAATCCATCAGCAGTGTATCAAGAGAAGGATCCATATACCTTTTCCAGGCCAAGGGAGAAAAGTAATAAAATATGAATATAAGCTTCTAAATATGGTGGTTTGATTTTTCAGCTAAATACGATGGAAGCACAACCCAGAAAGATCCCATTACTTTCTAGATTACAAAAAAAAAACCTAAACAACAACACAACAACAACAAAACCAAACAAAAACAAACAAAAAACCCCAAACCCAACAAAACACAGTTGTGCCCTCAAAGCGTGTACTATACTCATACATTGTAGCAGAATTGAAATAAACTAAAGTCAGGTTATCCAGCCTCTCCACTTTGATTTTGATGGTACCAAACGTAACAGTTACAATTTAGAACTAAAATTTTCCTCCTCCTTTTCTCAAAGAACTTAGGGTTTGTCTACAAACAAGTTGGTAAGACTTTCAAGAGCACCCACTGCCATGCTGCAGTGCTGACATACAAGAGCTAGTCTCGTGCTAGCTAGCTGCGTACCAGCTACTGTAGAATTGCAGCAGGATCAGATCAGTACAGCAGCAAAGCAAGTTAAATATTTGGTTATCCAAGTACCATGCTGCAAGAACTAGCTTGAGCCATTTTATTTAAAAGCAGCTTGGGTGAGTCTACATGACATTATAAACAGACCATTGCAGGCTCCATAGCTGGTACAGCTGTATTACTGATATTGCACAAGTGAAATACCTCCTGAAGCAGAGGAACAACCCCAGGACTGCAGTTTCCTACCTCTGTGCTTTGAAGCAGTGATCGATGGAGAAGTATCTACTCAGACAGTCACTTTGTCACGGCTTAGAACCACACAGTGCTTTCATTAGCCTGCTAGGTTCTCCAGTTTATACAGGCACACATATGGAAACAGCAAAAGCTTTGTAGAGGCCAGCGTCTAGCCCAGTAGATTTCAACCAGACAAGTTACAAGCATCAAACAGCAGGTTTCCGTGTAGCTTCAAGCCAAGCAACCTTGCTTGCTGCCATCAAAAGGTGTGGTCTGTTCTTTCTCTTCTGCTCCCAACCACGGTGCTTGCTCTAGCATTCACCTAATGCAGCCAATGCAACTCACTAAGCACGCAAAAATCCACTCCCTTTTTTCTTTTTTTTATTGTAGGGAGCAGCAGACCAGACCACAACCACAGGAGCAAAGCCATTAGACTGGCTCAGCTATACTGCCCAACTGCACCCTCAGGGCAGGGACTTTGGCACCAGGCTCCCTGTCCCCAGGGTTTATCCTCACCCACAAGTCAGCACAACTGTTTGCTGCACAGCAAACAAGACTGGGGGACCGACCTGGACCAAAAATAGGCCAGCAAAACCAAATAAAAAGTAAACAGCCAACAGCTTATTTTTAGGTCAGGTTAGCTCACCAGTCCAGTTCACCATGTCTGCCCACACAGTTCTACCAGCAAAACTGAGGAGGAGCCCGAGGTGTGAGCAAATGAAAGGGGAAGAGCGCTCTGCTGCTTAAGCCAGGCCACTTACCAAAATAAACGCTCAAGCTATGGCCTCAGGTATTTTGTGTATTACTATACAGAAATGAGCACTTTAGCCAAAAAGGAACCATTTCTACCCAAAAAAGAGTTGCAGCTTGCAACTCAGAGTTCTCTTCTATATTGTTTAAATGTATATTCCCATTTGTGGTCACTGCATTATGCAGGTATAAAGATTAGGAGGCAAGCAGCCACAAAGCACCTCTCCATAGATTCTGAAAGAGAGAAGGAATAAATAGCTAGCTGCACTAAAGGACACTTCAGGAATACTACAGTGACAAAATTTAAAACACACAGAGCCACAGAAACCAGTAAATTCCAATAACAAATTGGCCTCAGAGAAAAGCAGTGAAGCTGCTGAGGCTTTAAGACTTTGCAACTAAGTTATCCAAGGGATTTCTTTCTCTGTTTGTAGCAGTTGTCATGCATCTTGGTAGTTTGTCTAAAGCTTCTTGCTCACCACTTTCTGATCCCAAGCTTACAGTGCAACTCTTTCATGCTCTGAAGACTCACATAAGGAAGTTCAAAGTCTGCTACTTTTTTCACCACTAGGAAAAGAAGAAAGAAAGAGACATTTGGTGAAATCCAGTGAAATAGCCCAGCTACTTTCATATATCAGTTAGTGCTGGTTAGCAACGTGCTTTTGGAGAAGAACAAATATAAATTCTGGGGTAAAGTGACAGGTTAGTTATCTTCCTCACTTCTCTGACTCTAAACTTACACAGCTCTATTACTTCCAGAGTATTGTCGCTCCCTTAAACTATGCTCTTATAGAATATCCTTTTCTCAAAATACAGCTAAACAGGAGAGATGTTTCTGCATTTAAAGGACATGTGGCTGCAAGCTGCCAGGACTGGTGCTTTTCTTGAACAGAACACCAGACAAGAGCACTATAACTAATGTACAGCAAGAAAAGCACATCTCTCTTCAGAGGTCACTACTTTCCTGCATGTTTTTTTAAAATTTTCTTTCTGAAGACCCAAACCTGTAAACATTTCCTTCTAAGCCAATGCTGCAATATAGCACAGCACTTAAACATGTGATTTTAAGCATGTGAGCATCTAAACATTTTTTGGCAGTGGACTGTGGGTTACATTTGGACTTAAGGTATTTGCGAGGAATACCAAAGATATATAGAAACCTAATTAATTGAAAAAAATTTTCTGTTCTCCTGTGTACCTAATTCTATCACAATACAAGGCAAAAATAAATTCATCTGCAACTGCAGTAGAAGAGTATATAAAATGTGTTATATCCAGATACATTTGAGACATAGTAACAGCCTGTCTACTCAGAGATACCTTTCACAGCCAGAGAGAAGAGGGCAGGGGAACAACAAGTAAAATAGACACAGACAGTAAAGTTCATACCCCACTGGATAAGCCCAAGTTTACTACTGGACCTTCATCTTGAAAAACTTCAGAAGAGTATTAACATCTTTACGCCAATGAGAAGACTGAAAAGCGCTAAATGACTTGTCAAGGCCTATCCCAGTCCCAGGCCTGGATCCAGCCTCGTCCACACATGGGAAACAGGACATCAGCTGGCCAAGGAGAACATAAAAGCCCCTTCACATTTTCTGACCATGAAGAGACTCACAACCCTGACTTACAGCTTACTCAGTACCATTGTGGTTAAACTTAAGTTTCTATCAGTTAAGAAAGGAAACATGTCATGATATAAAGGAAAATAAGCCACAGACATTGTTTATAAATATAACAAAAGAGTTTCCTGTCCCATTGTTAAACTCAGCATGTGATCTATAAATTAAGAACGGTTTTATGAAGGTATGACCATCTGAATAAATGCCTACACAGAAGATACGCTCCATAATTCCCATGTGGTAAAGTTGCTACACATCTTGTAAACTGAAAGGGACATGATATTTGTATGTGAAAGTCCCGCCCCTGCACCACAGTATTGCCATACTCTGTTCCCTAATACCACTCTTTCCAAGCCATGTGGGGAGAGGGCTTAAGAGGGTTTATCAGACAGAATGGGTCTTTCAGCCTGAGCAGGGTCATACAAGCTCTGTTCAGACTCCAGGTTCAGTCACTGCAGCAACAACAAAAAAAAAAAAATCCAAGGGAGGGCTAAAACTTACCAGAGAGCACTCCATCATCATGATCTTGAAAGAAAAATAAGCTAAAATATTTTATTAATTCTCTTGATAGCCTCATCTTGCACGATGCAACCTTTAAAAACAAAGAAGGTCAGAAGCTTAGCTATCCATTAGCATGAATAAGGAAGAAATGTTTGGTACCTATTAATGTAACTTAATTGTTTTTAAAATTCCCCTTACATCCCACGTAACAGCAAATACAACCACTCCCATATAGCAGCATTTGAGTTTGTGAGGAGTTTCATAAATTTCAGAGGAAGTGTAATAAAATAGAAAATGTTTACTACTCTGCTATGCATTTAAGTATCCTTTAACGCAAGGCATCTGCCAAGTTATTCCAGAACTTTAGTAGTAAATCCTCAAATCCTGTTGTAGTGAGCAGTGCGTGTTCTGAGCTAACAACATTGCTCATGAGCATCACAAACATGTAGTTTTACAGGATTTGTGTATTTTCCAAGCTGACAGAGTCCTCTTGTTTTTCTAGGAAATGTCTAGAAGTCCTGCCACTTTACTGAAAGTGGTAGTCTTACTTGTAGGGTTCTACAATTCTGTGTGAAGGCTCCTGACAAGAGCAGACTTGAGCTCTCTTGAGTTTTTGTTATTGACAGTGCATAAGGAGGCAAAAAATCCTATGCAGCTTGACATTTAGATTAGTTTTAGCTTGCTGTGGCCCCTCTACATCTGTTCTGAAAGAGGGCAGAAATAGCACCAACAAAAAAAAAATGCACAAGTTATTTGCAGGAACAGCTGCAAAATGGGATAGTTGGGACAGAAAAAGAAAAATAATAAAAAAAAAAAATCAGGCAGAGGTGAGCACAGAAACTGCTGAATCAGATTGGGGCAATTGTCTTGTTCTGGTTTCGGTCCTGAAAGATCAAGCATAAGTTAAAGCATCCATAACCTAACAGATGGCACATCAGAGCATTCCTAAATTCTGCAGTGATATGGTCACCGAGTTTCCTGAGTTTGCTCAGGAAAGTGGTGTGGCAACCATAAGAAAACTCTCCACCCCCGAGAACACTCCTGTCATAGCTCATCTGACAGATTGTGCAACCTGATGGAGGAGTCATGCTTTGGTCAGAGAAGCTGGACTTTCTTTGTCTGAGAATAAGGTGGAAGTACCGGTTTTCTGTCTTCTTCCAAAGTGTGCCAATTCCAAAACACCTCCAGGTCTGTGTCACAGTGACAGCATTGTAAATCCACTCATCTCCACAGTTCAGAAGGGTTTTCTCCAGCTGTATCAGCTGGTTTAAAAATCAGACATGTTTTTGTGCATAGAAAAAAGCAGACATCAAGCTAAGTATAGGTTGGGAAGAATTGTTCCAAGTTAAAATTAAAGAACACATTCACGAAGTTTTCCTTATACTTGTTAATATAAGGGCTGTTACTGGAGAGGGCAGCAGAGCATAAAAATCACTTGCCTCACACTCAGTTCAGACACCAGGTATAATGGGAAGAAAGTTTTAGAAGTCCAAACACGAGAGACAAAAAAAGTGAATATTAGCAGCACAATCTTTCATTCTATCTGCTTCTGTGCTAATAAGTCTCCACAAATTACTTTAAGAAATTAGCCACAGAGCTTCAACGAGTTATCCCTTACTAGCATAATACTAAGCATACCAGATGGCATTTCCCAGGAACGACAAACACAGATCTCTGATTCAGTAGGATTTTGACTTATTTTATTTCTTGGATCAAAGCACAAGCTGGTATATGCTGCCTAAGCACCAGGATGTTAGGGAGTGGTGGTTACAAAATCTACCTCCACTGCAAAAGAACAATGACAAAATCGAAATAATTTCTAAAAGTCCTATCTCATCTTTAAGACCACAAGAGAAGAAATGGTGTCTGCAGCACTTCAAATGTCATTGTTTCTTTAAAGCGCCACATAAACATTAAACATCTACAAATGCAATATACAAAGCATCATACACCACCACTGTCTGGCTTGGAAATTACCTTGACCCACTGCAAAACTAACAAGTTTATCAAGCACAAACTATTAGTATTTTTTAAAGTATATTAGCAAATCCTTTCCTTACTCAAGATCCCTATATAAGTCTCCTATCTAAAAATGTCTCCTTACTTCTTCCACCCTATTAGCACCTACTTCCCTCCCCCCAAATCAAAATTCCTGTCTTCCTGCCACCCCCAACACTTTTTGCCTTCAGCATCTCCCATCCCACAAGTCTCTTGTTACAGGGTCTAAGGCCAACTCTGACACTTACCTTCCCCTGGAAAAACCAGTCCCAGCTTTGCTTCAGGTGTTGCAAACCCCATGGGAGAACAAAGTCGGTAAAGGGTTACCTTGGGTTATCCAACTCATGGTAATTGTGCACAGATACTGCATGTTCTGCAGTCAGACTAACACACATTAGCTTGACGGAGGACAGTGAATATGTGTTCAGCTCGCTTGTGTCTATGGCCAGCTGAGAACCACCTCAACAAACTTGGATTGCAAAGGCACAACAGAAATACAGTACATAATTTCTGTATTATTATTATAAGAGGAAATTTCAGATTCTAGTGACAAAGAAGATTACCTATCTTGCACGTGTATGCTTTGTTATTGCTGTTAAGACTAGGAAATAGGAGCAACTGAGGAAGAGACTTCAACCTTGCTCACGCACACACACGTGCAAATACACAAAATACACAGACCCACCACTGCTCCTCCTCTTCTGGCATAAGGAGGGAACTTCAGCTGAAAATTTCAAACACAAGCCAGCTAGTTGTGTAAACAACATTTGGTTGCTAGTGGTTTCAAAGTGTAACTAGCAATAGTTTACTGTATGTATTACAACAGCTGTTACCGACATCCCAGAGCCACAGTGCTAGAATGCGCCAATACTGCAAAGGAAGTCCCACAGTTTCACAGCAGATACAAAGGGACACAAAACAAGTAAAGGAGAAGCATGCAGAAAAACAAGACATATCAGTCGCACACTAAGTTTTAACAGCAGTGTACTAGCTAAGACATAAGCCAAGACAAGGCCACCATTTCTGACTATAGCATTCAAGCACTTTCACCCACACTATGCTAAACCAAAGCAGGGAGTTATGTAAGAATGTGTCCCCATAAGGAATAGTATATATTTTCTGATTCTATCATAAATGAAGGAAGCCTGAACTTGACGGCCAAATTCCATAGAAACAGAGGGCGCGTAACATTAAGAGGAGGTAATTTATGGACAAAAGTAAGAATCAAAACAGCTCATCTGCAAAACCAGCAATGTCCCCTAACCCCTTCACCCCACTACAATAAACCCCTCAAAAAACACAGAAGATATTCTTGTATGTCTTCAGACAGTGAGTTTTATCCTTTCCTGACAGAAATTATCTTAATTTTTCCCCACTTCTCACAGATGAAAAATTTCAACACAATTCTAGAAGCCCATTACCTCTAATATTCTTTCTGCAGTGTCCGATGTCTGGATATCAAGTCTAATATTGCTGCCATCAGCGAGGTAAACATCCAAAAAGGCTCTCTGGGTTTGGATCTTAAATGTATCCTGTTAGGCAGAAACAGAACACTGTTGTATTGCTTTCCATATTGCTGGAGCCTTCCGAAGATGCTGATGCTCCATTTCCCTATTTACTGAAGTAAAATAAACAATTGAGATTACTATTTACTAAGCAGTAAGTTACAAAAATCACTGTTAAAGCTTGCAGATAAAAAACCAAACCAAAACAAAACATATGCAGAACAGCAAGTGGGAAGATACTGCAGAATTACAGGAGGGTCACTTCGATGTTAAGGTGAGCACAGGTTACCTAGTGCCTCAGTGTCTGTAGGAACAACACACTCACTGTCCTAGGAAGTAGAGACTCCAAGAAGAGGAAGTGGATAAACAGCTGCATGTGAATACTCAAAGCCACAATCTTGCCAAAAGGAAAAAATGCATCCCTGTACCTATAAATAGGAAAAACTCCAGTGAGAATAAAAAGGCTATGGTATCTTAATATACCAAAGCCACTGCTACTAGAATACTGTGCAGTGACAGTGCCTAAAGTTCAAAACCACCGCAAACAGAGAGGGGATGCAAAGAAGAAACCTGAAGCATTTAGGTCATGAGAAATCCGGCTTCACGGTAAGTGATCTCAGAGAACTGTCTTATGTCTAGACATAATAAAGGGGTGATTTGCAATCTGGTAACCTGAAGTACAGAAGCCAGATCCATTGGCTGTCAGCTGATGATAGATGCAGTTCAGACTAGAAGTAAAGCACATGTTTCTAGCAGTGAGGTAAGGCATGGGAATGGGATATTCTCCACTAGTTTTATATCAAGACTTTGTATTTCCCTAAAGGACTTTCCCAAGCTCAAACTTAGAAAGCCCCATGCCTTGCTATGCATGAGAAGTCAGTTACTTGTTTCAAGAGGATGGACACTAGTTTGAGAACTCATGCACCTGAATGAGGTGGCAGAAACTCATTGCTGCAGCTCCTCTTCCTGTCGACAGCCCTGTACCATAGGACAGCAGTGGTCCTTCTGACATTTTTATTAATTAAGGACAGGTACTTCCCCTGAGGGCCATAGTGAAGGAAAATGCTGTAATTGTACATACTGCATGCAACATTAAATTCTAATTTCTTGTATCCACCTTTGCTAGACTGGTGGAAGATATGGGAGACTCCCTGGGAGCCCTTAGGTTTCTAGTACTTTCACTATCTTGCTGCAAACTCTTCATGGCACCTGTATATAGGCGCATCTCCTGACCCCTGCGATGTCAGCAAGAGCAGGGTGGCAGGGCTGACATTTATGCTGTGTGCTCCGTTATCCCTCTTTAGGTACCCTGCAGAACATGCTATGATGTATGGCTTCAGTTAACTAACTCAGCTTAGATTGGTAACTTTTTTGGGTCAGAAAGACCACATATTCCAGTAAATCTGGCTTAATTAAGAGTTATTTCAAGGTAAGATCAAATGCAAACACTGTTTTCTTCCACAACATCTAAAAATTAAGAACACGTTGAAAGTTTGTAGAATGATATGTGGGGAAAGGTGGTCTTGAGGAAAACCAAACCAAACCAATCTTCCTTATTTAAACAGATTTCCCACAGATTTTTCTGACACTCAGTATTTCACCTAGCTGCATGCCTAGACATCTGCTGGCCCATATTAAAGAACAAGTGAACCTCTTCTCGAGGCATTAGCCAATGCCCTGTCTGAAGTCGTTCTGGGGAGCAACGTATTTAATCTTTATCTCCAAACTAATTTCCTTCTATCCAGGAGACAGGTCTAGTCATTCCTCTTAATTAAAATAAGCATTACTTTGCTCCTGTGGAGATACAAAAGCCCTTCTCTCTCTTACATCAAGGACCATCTGTGCTTACCTGAGTACTCTACTACTTTACTCAAATGGGAAGGAGCAGAGACTTCCTTACAAATGCCTTTGGCACACATATTTTGGTATGAAACATTTCACACGTGAAAAAAAGGAAGGGAAACATGGAACAAACATGGGATGCAAACATCAGAATGAGACAGAGACAGGTAACTCATTATGGACTCTCGACAAAGAGCAAGCAAGTTGCTATATAGCCACTTCACTACCCAGGACTCAGCAGTGCTGGGGAGTGAAGGCGAGTGCAAAGGCTCACACACTGCAGGAACTGCTTCTGGGTGTGGGCTGCTAATGCTGAAGGTCCCATAAGGAAAGGACATGGAGGACCTTATGCACCTACTTCTGCCAGATCCTCACTGTTGCTCCTGCAGTTTTCACAGCCTGAGTACAGGCCACCTTGATCACTGTGGCAACCCAGGGGCAAAGACACAAAGGTCACTTTACTCTTCTGCCACTCAAAGGGAGTCCCACCTCACAGCGCGCTACCCTACTTGCCGCCTCACTACTTGGCTATCTGAAGAGCAGAAGAGAAGCATGATCCAAACTTTCAGCTACTTCCAAGCAGTTTGAATTCTTCAAGAACACTGTGCAACATATTAGTAGGCGGATTAGTTTGAGGATCTACAAGAAAGGATGTATTAGAGAAAAGAAAATCTCAGTCCCATCTAGAATGGTCACATTAAGTATCGCTGTTTAATACTTAAACCAGTGGTTTCCACAGTCTTCTTTTAAAAACTGCTTTAATTTCTCTTATTTGACTCTGCCAAACTACAGGCACAGCTTCATGGCCTTGGGGACAAATTCCCTACTTTCTTATCTCCAGCTTTTGATTACTGCTCTTTCAATATGGCTATGACACAGCAAACTGAAAAATAAGAATTATCTTAAACTGTTGGGTTTGGGGATTTTTCCCCTCCTTTTATCACATGCTTTTACCCCAGAAAGCAGAACTGTCCATGCCAGACACCCCACGTATTGTTCAGTGTTATAAATATTTGTGTTAGCCTCTTATCAGCAAAGTATTGTTCTAACCAAAAAAATTTACTTACATAAAAACAAAAGGAGGAAACAGTGCAGTCTAAGGCAGGAGAAGACAGTGTTAAGTGAAGAAATACAACTACAGACACGTCCCTAAAACAACACAAGAGAATCCAGCATAAGTTTAATACAAATACAAAGGGAAGAGCATTTATGAGTGCTAGTGATAATCCTTTTAGTGAGTGCACAGGGCAATCCCAACCACTTCCAAAATGGACAGAAAAATACTTTTGAAAGAAATGTGCAGCAGTGAGTCAGAAAAGTTCAGATGTTCTCCCAAATTGCTTTTTTAGTTTTGGAAATAGTAGAGTCATTGTCTCATCTACTCGAAATAGGCACCAAAATCAACAAACCCCTGTATTTTGGCTACACTACATGTTCAGTAGTACTTTCCATGTTTCCTACACTTGTGCTCCTGAAACTCAGGGAACATGCCATGTAACTAGAATTGGACACTTTCTTGTATCCCTTAACACTGCTTATTTGAATATTCCCATAATGCCATCACTATTACCTGTGGTAAAATCTCCTGAAACTGCTGCCTACTCCCTACTTGCATGCCCCAGTAGCTTGAAGCACAGGAGAGTCATTAATAGAAGAATACAGAAAAATACAGAGCTGGTGAGAGATTTTCTTTGTTTTTTTGGTTTGGAAGAAAAAAAACCAGTTTGACAACAAGAAAAAAAACACACCCAACAAAAGAAAAAACACAAAACCAACAAAACAGCAAACAAAAAAATCCAAAATACCTACCATATACCTGGATATCTTTTTTCTTTTTTTCCTCCCAGTTTTTCATTAGAAAACTTAATTTTAAGTGATTTTGTTTTAACAGAAGTCAACACCAATCTGAAGCCTCGGCAAACTCTCAATGGATTTGCTGCTCAGCTAAGAAACATAGGCCACAAAAGGAGAAAGGGCGAGAACAGAGGCCCTTGTTACAACATATTTGACAAGAACAGCAGGTTAGGGGACTGAATTGCGTCTTAACACTGAAACGAAAATAAAACAGACATCCTTGAATAAAATTCTTCAGAACTTTCTATGCCAGAAACCTTCCCCCCTGGCCAGTACACAGTCTGAAAGTATGGGAACTCACCACATGAAATTCAGATTTCTGGCCAGCTGCACTTTTGAAATAGAAGTTCATAAATAAGAAACCTAACCTGGTTTGATATGAAGGAAATAACATTTTTAGACCAGTGCTGAAATCATAGATACTCAACCTGACTTCTGTTTGTCTACATACATATACAAACACATTTGTGAGTTACTGTGAGTACAAGCAAATGTTACAGGCATGCATTCCTCCACTGCGTGAAAAATCTGTGTTCTAAGTGCGCAGAGGAGCGGAGGCTGCATGGTCAGAGACAGGGGCTCTATCCAAGAAAACGCAGCCCATAATCAGACCAACTTTGATTCCTGCTAACATCTGCAGGTTTGTGGGTTATGTTTTGCCTACAATCTCAATAGCGCACATACCACAGCTCTTTTATAGTGTTCAATCCTTGGTCTCATGCTTTGCTCCTCGAAGGAAAACCACCTTACATCAGAGTCCTTTGATGAAGGACCACAGAAGAACACTGCTTTTTGCCTGTTGGCATGCACTGGTTGGCTCTGTTTGCTCAAATACACAGAAACTTTTCATCTGCCCCTTCTCCAACACCTGAATCCTGTTGCTCATGCTAAAGGCCGTTGTTTACCAGTAACACAGACTAGAAAAGGTCATCCTCCTAGATCACCAACTACAAATCTCTGCTGCTGCAAGAAAATAGATCTCAATTTTATTCATAAATGTATAATGACAAGCTGTCCTCACAGCTGCATCCTGAATACACCACATTACTCCATGGGTGCCCTGTACAGTGACAGACCATTATCTCCGATTACATTCAAGGATATAGATGAGTTGCATTAAAATGAGACTGATAGGGTTGTATGTACCTGCTCATATCATCTTTTTCCTGATGAAAAAAGGAGAAGACAACACAGCCACAACTGTCTCATCTTGTTAATGACTTCTTGCAAGAACTGTGCCATTTGTCTTTAGGGGTTGGAGGGACTGGGGCATACTCTGGAACGGTCTCTCCAGCTTGGTCACTGGCCAAGTTTGCAGAGTTTGGAAGAGTGGAGGGGCAGGGAGATTATGGGTTAGGTTATTCAATTCTGCTAGTGTTGGTAAATATTTCAGCAATATTTGCTTTGAGCAAAGCATCCATTGTGCCAAGCTGCTTCCCTGTATGTCAGGAGCCCTGCTGTCCCCTGACAATTTCTCCCATGAGATTAGGTTGCTGGGGAAACAGCCAGAGCATGCCTGCTGTAAAGAGCAAACCGAAACAACCTATGCAACAGGTGAAGATGGTGCTGGGCAAAAACAGGAGCCTGGAAGGCAGTGTTGACCTGCATGGGCTTGTACCCACTTGAAAACTTTGCCCTGTTAGATACGATCAGGGGGATATAGCTGGTTGCTGTGATGCTGAGTGCAGATACAGATGAGTCATGTTCAATACTGTTGGGCAGCTGCAGTAAAGCCATGGTCCTTGCACAGCACTCCCACTCCAGGGAGTGCTAGTCTCGGCTACACCCCTCACAATCCCATTCAGAAGCAAAACACAGGACAAGGACCAAAAAGGTCTTAAATTCAGTCTGATTTTTCCTTTGCATCTTCTATTTCAGTCAGTGATATATACAAATATCTTCAGCTAGAAGCATAAATACTGGTGGTTTTAAGACAAGCCAAGAAAACGAAGCAAGCACTAGCAGGCTACCTGAGAGGACAGATCTATTCTCTCTCATAATGAAAGACAGAAGTGAAGGTGAAAAAAGTCAGAAGTAGAATTTTCAGGAAAAAAAACATCAAACTAGCCTAGCTATCTCATTCACCTCTGGTTTCTTATCTTCTCATTTCATTAAAACCTAAGGTTTCTGTTATAAAAGCTACACTGGTTTTACCTGCAGACAGCTCTGTGCTCGATAAACAGCTGTGGTGGCAGAGAAGTGGCTGACTGCTTCCCACTCATCACCACCTGCAGTGCAGTCCCTCTGCCACTTCTCCCACGTTTGCTGGCAGGTTGCTTGTGCAGCTGTGCACTAACTTGTTTCAGGTAGCCAAGACTAACTAGTCAAAGCCAGTTCACGTCACTGACAGAAAAAGAGCATGCTATTTCATCATTTTAATGATTTATTCTTGAATCATTCATTAATCATCCCTCTTGCAATGTAACAAACGAGCAAGTTTGGAGGAATGCCTGGTTTTAACACTAAGTAGCAGTAACGATGAAACCCTAACTATGTTTTCACTCCTAAGCAACATGTAAGACACTAAGTGCTGCCTACACGTCTTCAACAATGGAGAAGGAAAGAACAGTACAGAGGTGCTTCAAACGCAAACTTTACTCCATGTCTTTCAATGCTGTTACAGAAATTTGATCACTCTGCCATAAAACATCTCACAAGTCACAGGATACTAATAAATATTAGAACATACACAAAGTCAGTTTGTTCAGTGAGATGGTTTAATAGCCAAAACAAATACTTAATTGGTGTAACCGATGGCTAAATGAAGGCACTGTGCACAGCTAGTGACAGTAGATGTACTCCTGTCTTTCACAAAGCTATTTGATCTTAGGAGTTTGTTCTTTACCATAATGAAAGAATACATAAAGCACTACTGCTATTTGTATTATGAAGCAGTAACTTATGTAAGCACAACCATTATAAGTTGAAACTGTAAACAAGAAGAGCTGGAGAACTACTGTCTTCACCAACCAGGAAGCATAAACATCATGTATGAAAATCCATTGCATCGTGGAACAGAAACTTGTGTTAATTTTATGTCTTGAGAATGTACTGACCTTGCACTAACATTTAAGGTATAATTCAGTGCCTACCTTGAACTCCACAAAATAACTGACTGCTTTTTGCAGCACAGTCATCACATGCCTTAATAAGCACACACACATATGTAAATAACCCACAAATCAAGTGAGTACTAGACACCTACTTATCAAGGCACCCCTCTTCACCAAAAGAGCCTGCAGCAAAGAGTGAGCTAAACTATACAACATCATTTCTGATGGAATGTTAAGAGAAATCCACAATACTGGCATGCCAAAAGACATCTTGAAACACTGCAAACATGCATTTTGAAGAGTTATTTCCTGCCAGAACTTTGTCTAAAAAAGTCAGTTGGTAGTGTTTGAGGGCAAATTGCAGGCATTCCTGATGGATTTAACTTTCTTTAGCAGACGTGTTATCAGTCTCATCAAGAGTAATTAAGACTCAGCAGTAATTGCTGGGAGTTATCTGTAGGGCTATAATAGGCATTGGATCAGAACTAAAGAGACTGCCTCTCACAAAACAAATCCCTAACCAGAAAGGGGCTTTTCTTTTTCACTGTCTTGAGCACTTCACTAGGTCTGAATTTAAGAACCTGTAAATAAACTGTATCTTTTTATTTACAGCATATATAGGAAAAACCTCTCTAGAATTTGTTAGGAATATTTCTCCACACCATTTTCTATAGCCTTTCTGAACTCACCTTACATACCTTAATCACACATAGCAAGCAAAGAACTCTTGAGTCACAAAACTCTTACTTGGTCCTTAAAAACATCCCCTCTCTCCAGAACAACTCATTGCAAGTGAGGTTACAGCAGCACGTGAAGCACTTCCCAGAAAACTAAAGATGCATTCCCTCCCTGAAAATGCTGTTGGAGTCATACTGCACCCACCTGCTCCAAAACACTACTATCCTCAGAAGAACCACAGCAGCTGCAGAGGAGGTAAGGGAAGAAGAGGGCTATACAGCACCTTGCAGTAGTCAGACACAAGCAACGGCTATCCAGGCTCCAAGCCTGCCAAAGAACGATCATACATGTCATGGACCACATTAAAATGGATTTCAAAAGCCATCTAGGTTGCAACAACCCAAATACATGCCTGATTCTGCCCATCACTACAGCTGCAAGATAAAAGAACATGACATTTTCACAGCAGTCATCAATACGCTTATCAGTCCAAAGCACTGACACTACCAAAAAGCATTGACAGTTGCAAAATCCAAGAATGTGTGTAATCCTTCTATTGAGCTTTCACAAAGACTCTTCTGGGAACTGTTTAGAGGCAAAAGATTCATCAGATATACCACAGGATATAAAAACAAAGCAAATGGTTCTTTCCATGTGAGAAACAAGTTTGTACGTGGACAAAACAATAGCAATACTATTATTATTGCCACCCAGGCTTCACAGAGAGCACTCTCATCAGAACTCACTGCTTTACGGAACAGACCAATACGCTGAGAACACAAGGAAAGGAAGATAGCAAAGGAAGCCTTGAACTCAGGAGGTAGGATAATATTTCAACTCTTTCATATAACAAACTATTTGGCTGAAAAATTCCAAACTTACCTGCTGTAGCTTTCGGAAAAAACCTATGAAGACATCACTATTGGTAATATTTGAATCCAAAGTAACTGAAAAACAAGAGGAGAATGGGGAGGGAGGAAACTAAACTTAGCCAAAAGGTGAAAAACACGGCTAGTGTCTAAAAACAAGGTATATACAACATGACTGTTGGTTGAACGGCTAGTGCTACTTTACTCATCCTTTGGTTTCTGCACAGCTCCCTTCACTAGCCTGTTAAATCACTGAAGCCAGGAACACTGCAAAATACATGTACTGTTGTTATTCTCCCAAAGCAAGACTACAGCAAAGTTCTTGACCACGTAACTCCATGGTCACTCATGGCCAGTAACTCTAAAAGGAACTGTTGAATACTCAAGTGAAAAAGATAAAATAATCACCAAGTAAGATTTTAAAGACTAACCTTGAGTTTCTCTTTTGTAAGTCTTGACACAAAGTAACTGAGGCCAGAGGATACAAAATCTCTTTAACCTCATCTGCTCACAGCCCCTTCTTTTTGGGTAGTTGAAATGGTTATTTTTTTATTATTATTATTTTTTTTGATTATGTGAAACTCACAAGGCACATTCTAGGGATCCTGCAGACCTGGTTTAAGACACAACACATCACGCCTGAGATTTAATTTTTCTCACATTTTGGGAAAGCTGCGGAAAGGCAGCTGCTTCAGAAATAAGAGAAGAAATATGATATTCTGCTGTTCTAGAGCCAGTGAATCAGCAGAGAGGACAGGGCAGCAATGCTTAGCCCCAGTCTTTTCGGTACACCCTTACTCAGCTCAGTGTATAAGGTAAAGCACCCTGCAGTCACAATTGTTGACACATCCACAAAGGTTTAAGCCCTATGTATGAAAGCTGATCAGGTTGTTACAGTCAAGCTTACCATTCTGAAGGTACTGCTCCAGCTGAGACCGTCTCTCATCTGCCATCGACTTGGTCATCGCCAGGTAAAACTTTGGAGGGAAAGCAGGCACAGCACTCCCAAAAAGCTGCCTCAGCTGCAAAACAGCCAAAGGAAAGCTCTGCATCAGTGAAGAAGTGTTCGAAGTTTCCAAGGAACTTTCAATGCTTTCTTGTTTTGACAGCAAGACATGACAACCTGCAAAGCGCATAGGGATACCCACCCAGCACCTCCCTGATGGCCCTCAGGGCCCACAGAGATGGCAAAGCCTTTGCCCAGGCAGCCACCAGAAGACAGTCCAAGTGAGCAGCCTCTTGATGGGTTCCTCATTTTTACAGACTTACCACTTCTGAGCTCCTGCTCTGAGCCAGGAAAGTAACACTGTATTAACCTTATCAGCTAGGTCTTATACACCTCGTGGACAAACAAAACATGGTTACAGATGTCTTCTCTTCCCAATATGCCCATATGGGATTTCTTTGATCTGTACCTACAGAACTACTTCTTAAGAGCTGGTGACTTCTGCCCTTGACTTGTGCTACCTCAAGAGGCTTTTATTATTTTGTCTGTGAGAGGTAGTAACCTTTATCAGATCATCTAATATTGTCAAAGGAAAAAAAAAAAAAAGAAACCAACAAAAATCAGAGAATCTTTCAGGAACACAAGCTATCTGAAAGTTTGATTTTTCTTCCAGCTATATCAGCTGGCTAATAAGAGCATAATATCCCTGTATAAACCCTACCTCATTTATAAACAGACCTGAAAGGACCAGAGAATCACAATTACATTATCTTATGTTATCATAAGATAGTTCCAGTATAGGTTTGGGCAGTGTTCTGTCACTTGGAAGTGTAAAAATTCTCTACTATAGGCAAATTATCTCAAGAGAAGGATGAGCTATGTTTACCTTCCCAATGTACACATTACTAAACACAGCAAAATACAGCAAGTTTGCCTGGAAACAATCCTTCACCTAAATCAAAAGAATGTCATGTGATCAGTAAAATGAGACTCCTATAGTATGCTGAGACATTACTACTAATTAAATTTTAAGCACCAATATTCAACTCAGCAATTAGTGTCACTAAATTCTGTGAAAGATGTCATTTTCCCTCTGGCCCCAGCTGCCCAAGTCTTTCACATGACTCCAGCAGCTGAAGCTTGGAAAAAAAAAAATAAATATATGTTACTACTGCAAGAATTAGCAATACCTTTTCCTCCCTGTTGGCTAAAAACAGGAGTAAGGCATGTTCTTACTCCCTACATTGGCAACATATTGCTATTTCTGAATTCTTGATTATTAGATATGCGTGAATTGCTCCGAGATACACAGCACAAGAGTTAGATAACACCACATGCTTTGGTTTTATGTAAAGCTAACAGTAATAGCTAGTATAGAGTGCTTTTTATCTTCAAAGTCCTTCACATATGTGATCTTCCCCCAGAGACTAAAAAATATTATCTCTGCTCTACAGGCAGGCAAACTGAGGAGATACAGCAAAAAATTTGCCAGAAGTCAGGAAGCCAGAGCCACCCTGACAACAAGGAGGTTCTCTCTCCTCTCTCTGTGTTCAGGCCATGCCTTACCTACACAAAGCTACGCCATCTGTTATCATCAGTTTGCACAAGCAGAGACTCTGGCCTACTTAAAAAAAATAATTAATTAATCTCCGTACTGGTTGCTCGGTAGGCAATTGTGTGTCCTCAGGATGTGGGCTACAGAGAAGAGAAACTTCTCCCAGCTGATTAGACTTTTCACATCTCAAAGAATTAAAGAAAAGCACCCATAAACTTAAAGTGTGTATTTGTGTACAGTGCTGAAAGTCGACCAGACTATAAGCTACCAGCATGACATTTCATTCTAGCAGAATGGAACTAGCCAACGTTTGTCTTCACAAACCCAACAGCCTAGGCTACGTTTTAAGTGCGTCAATAACACCACTGTACCTGGTGGTGCCAGATGCCAACTGCCTGCTGCCCTGCCAAGCCAATACCACCATAAGAGATGGGTCCCCTACCCAAAATCTGCTTCTGACCATTTTTTTTTTTTTTTTGAGGCTCTGAGTTTGTTTTTGCAACCTAAAGCTACTCCACAGAAGACATGTCTCAGTCTCAAGCCAGGGTGCCCTGTGCACTGCCATTTTCTCTTGACTGGACCTACTTGACCAGACAGGTACTTCCAAGCCATCCTGCTCCACAAGCTGACCAAGAGGAGGACTCCTGTCCTTTGGCCTCTCTGCATGCCTGACCAAGCAGCTTCTTTGCTGACACTATGTGCAGCTCCTGTCAACAACACACAGCAGCCTCTTGAGCCAGTCCTGCCTCACAGCCCACAACCCAGCACTGAGGCTGGACACAGCTCCACTTCCAGCTCCCCACCCCAGAGGCAGCTTCAAGAGCAAGCGGCAGGAAAACCCACAGAGGACTGGATCATGAAAACAAGCTTAAATCTGACTGCGCTGGAAGCCCAGACAGGATGTTCCAGCCTGGTGCAAGAGGTACTTATTCTTCGTCCAAGACTTCCACCTAAAAGAGACAGAGTAGCTTCCCTAAATATGAGTATTAAGCTCCAAGAGCTAATCTCTTCAAAATGGGAAGCTGTCTTTTTCCACGGCTGTGGGAGTTGCGCGAGCGGCTGCGTGGTTCTTTGTTGCTGGTTGAGGCCAAACCACGACAGAAGGAAAGACACCTCCCATAGTTGGTGCTGTTTCTTTTTCACCTTTCTGCAATAAATATTCCCCACCTCAGCAAGAGACATCATCAGTTTTAAAGCGTAGTTGACCGGAATCAATCATCTCCTACTTAGTCTAATCCTACAGGTCTGCTTTTTGGTGTCAGGTCCTGCCTATGCTGTCTAGGTGAGCTATTTCACCCAGAGCCATGCTCCATCATAGCTGTGCAGATACCAAAGTCAGACAGAGCACCAGAAACAAAATTGCTAACCTGAAAAAAAATAGAGCAGCATTATAACCATAAAGCTATTATGTATGGATTACATACAGAATGAACAGGCCTCTGGGCATTTCCTTCTCAGTTACCTTATTAAATACATAAAAGAAGATGCCATTCTAAGATTAAAAGTGCTTAAGCATGTTTCATGTAAAAATTAAAACATACATATGCAGAAACTATCCAAGCAATCAAAGCTATGAGCCTATTCTGGTACATGACTGGTTAAATGAAGTTTAAAAAAATATTTATATATTTAATTCCTTTTTACCAATTCTTTTATTGTGATTAACAGATTTTTTAGAACCGTTTTCCCAACAGCCATTCATACCAATCACAGATGCTACTAACCGAGTCAGTGGAGGCTGGCATCATGACCAGAATCCATCAGTGCTGCATTTCACTGTTAGCCCTACAGAGGGCACTTTCTATTTACTCCCTGCCTTGAAGTAAACAAGTGAATACTGCAAGAAATAATCTGTTCCTTTCAGTCCTACAACAGAACATAGGTTCATTATTATGATATTTGTTTAGAGAGGGACATGCTAAGCAGCTGCCAAACTGAAAAGCCAAATGTAAACATCACAACATCACACAGGCGGAACCGAAGGACAGCCTGCATCTTTATCAACTGTTCAATTTCAACAAAATCCAGTAACATTTCTAGTGCACAAACCACTGTCCATGTAATCTCTAGCCCCACTCTAGAAGTTCCTGTCGGTTTTATCTTGCAAGAGAGCCTTACCTCTCCATAAGCAGAACGAAGACCCATAGCTCTGGTCAGTGTGCAGTACCCACAGAACTAAAGCCAGAGGAGAACGTGGCTACAGTATGGAGCACTGTACTAGCCATTCTTGTATAAATCTAGGGCCAAAGCTTAGATCCTTAAAATGCACATCCATCTGCCATTGACACTCTTGCTGAAGCTGTTCACAGTCATTTGCAGAGAATGGCTACGCAAGTTTTAGTTCAGCAAATGCAAACAATAAGGAACGCTGCCCAACATACACAGTGTTCATTCCGAACAAAGGGAGACTGGTCCTCCAGCTGCCCTTCCTACTGCTAATACTTAATACCTAAATACTCAAGGCAAAGGAGGAAATGAAAACTGGATTTCCCAAAACTGAATGCTCTAACTCCTGAAAGAGGCAAAAGCGGAGAAGGCAGAGCCACCTCTGGTCCCTCTTACAGCCAACACAAAGCCCTATCTCGCAGGGGAAGGTCAACAGAGTAAATCCTCAGACCTAGACAGGCACCTTCTGGCAATCCACAGCCATGTACCTATCTCCACAAAAGGAGAAGGTCTAAAGCTCCACTGCTCTCCTCAGCATTTCTGCCAGCCCTGCCTAAACAAACCCTTCTAAGCAAGATCTCTTTTAGGATATCATTCTTGTTTGTTCACGCCTCCCTCTATACCATTTGCTTTGGGTAGTCAGCTTCAGTTGTGAACACCTTCAGAGGTAAGGAAATGTTGCTCAGTGTTACTATACCTGCACCTCCCCATTCAACAGTGTATCCAAAACCTCATATGCTCTGTTACACTACACTGCATACTACCAACTTCTGAACAGTTGCTCCCTTCAGACCGTCCTTTTGTAGAGCGCACCCGCTCTGGGAGACAGCAAGGAACAGAGTTTGGGAATGTCAAACAACAGAAGCACTCTCAGAATGTAAAGTGATAGAGAGCAGGAAAATGCACAGCAAGAGATGAGGGGCAGGTAAGGCACAGCATCACAAACAAAAATTATGTCTCCTGATTTTGTATCACAAGTTAGGACATGAGCTTGTAGAGGTGGAATAGCAGTGCTGTAGAAATCACTACCTTGAAGGAGATCAGAGGCACAACCAGTCCAGCATCACATCCAACAGAGGGCAGAGACAGATCCTCTGAAGCAGTGTTTAAGAAATACTGTCAAGTATAATCACACAGAAATCTCTCTAGGGCGGAAGTTTATTTCTAATTCACATCCTTTATCCACCACGGAACTGTTGCATCTGTGGGGCTTTGTGGACACCACGTGTGATCTGGCCAAAGGGGTGAAATTACTGTATCCTGGAGTTTAAGACTTCTTGTATGTGTGCATTTTTCTACCTTAACAGAGTATTTCAAGCAAAATAAGCAGAACAGGATATAATAATTAGATGAGCAAGCTCACATAAGTACAGGGAAGACAATTAAGGGAAAGCAGCATAGTTGTAAGCTTCAAGACCAAGTATGGCAGCTACCAACGACACGAATGAAGGAAGTAAAAATAAAAATCAGCTAATGAGTTGTAAAGCCCAGCAAAAGGCAAACTGTCAGTTACAGAGGATGCAGAGAAAGGAAAGATTTTGCTGAGAGTGTTAATGAAGTTAAAGCCTCTTGAGCAAGAAACAGTAAGTCTTAAAGAAAAAGCAAACAAATACATAAGCTGGTTTATGAGTTTGGATATGTTATCCAAAATGCTCCATTAACCAAACAAAATATTACTGTGAGAGCCCCCACAGGGAAAAGAATTTGCAGAGCTGGGGCAGAAGAGCACACCTCAGCAAACATTGCTTCCCGTGGCAGCCCTGCTGCTGACTTAGCTGCCTTTTAGCTGTGCTACTCCAACTGTACCTGCAGTCACAGAGATGAGAAAGATTGACGGATTCCCCATCCAGGGTTACCTGGCTGAAAAACTGCTCCAGAGTGGTCCTAGCGCTGGAACTGAGAGCACAGCAAGGGGCCTACCAAAAGAAGGCGCACCTACCTAACCCACTGCCAGAAGAAGCATTCATCAAACAGGGCCTTAAATAGGATTGTCAAGGTAAATGAAGGATGCTCAGCAGGGATGATAGTGTGCACCCAGGCTGACGGAAGAGCTGGGAGAGATTTCACTTGGATCCATGGACTGGCAAAGGCCAGAAAGATCAGGCTAGCAAAGAGAAAGCTGGCGGCTACTTTGCCTCCATGGAAAACCTCAATGTCACATTATCTTCCTAAGAAAACCAGAGGAACGGTAGAGGGGAAAAGGACAGAGGCAACTTGGACAAGAAACAAAACAAAAGCAGAGGCATAAACAGGCAGATTTACCCTGAAATAATCCACTTCAGTTAATTGGGACCATGTATTATTCCCTGATGCCCACTATTCCTTGGAATACTCCAAGCCTGTGTTCCAGCTCTTTTGCAATTGCTTAGTAATTGCCTGTGTGGAAAGGGTCACTCCTGAGGTATACACTTTGGGAATACAGGCCAAAGGATCCAACACTCTCTTAAGCCCTGGCTTGTCAAAAAAAAAAATAAGAAAAAAAACAACTCTGCAACTGACTGTGCAATTGGCCTGGCCTGACCTCAGTAGACTTTCTAAAGACCCCAATAAAGCAGTTGCTCCTCTCTCCCAGAGGCCAAGGAAAGGAGGCACCTGGAGCCCACAGCTGCTGCTGCTTGGCCAACATCTCCCATTAAACCAGTCTACCATGCCCTTCTGCCACATCCCTTGGCTCCTTCTTTATTTATTTGCCTCTCAATTGCTGCTGGATTTCACCCTGCAAACACGGGTGCCCCGTGAGCAGCAGCTCTGCCCCTCCGGCAGCGGGGGGTGGGGGCAGGGTGCCGGGGCCAGGTGGGAGGGCAGGGCACGGGCTGGCACCAGGCTCGTCCCCCCCCCGTGCTGTCAGCACGAAGGAAGGCTTCAGTAACACGGATTTGGGTAGAAACAACCCGCTGCCCCCATCCCACGCTGGGCCTGTGCGGGCCAGGAGAGCCCCTCCTGCTCCGCAGCCCTCAGAGGGGCCCGACCCGGCTGCCGGGCC